AGAAATAAAGGGAGACTAGTATAGATCTATTTCAGGCTATTTAGCTCTCATCAGCTAGCCATACCCTTACTTGGATTTGAACTCCGAGTGGCTAGCTGATAAGAGCTAAATAGCTTGAAATAGATCTAGACTAGTCTCCCTTTATTTCTTTATCAGCGAAATACAAATTTTAGATAGATAGATAGATAGATAGATAGATAGATAGATAGATAGATAGATAGATAGATAGATAGATAGATACTGTAGATAGATAGATAGATAGATAGATAGATAGATAGATAGATAGATAGATAGATAGATAGATGATAGATAGCTAGATAGATAGCTAGATAGATAGATACTGTAGATAGATAGATAGATAGATAGATAGATAGATAGATAGATAGATAGATACTGTAGATAGATAGATAGATAGATAGATAGATACTGTAGATAGATAGATACTGTAGATAGATAGCTAGATAGATAGATAGATAGATAGATAGATGATAGATATAGATAGATAGATACTGTAGATAGATAGATAGATGATAGATAGATAGATAGATATAGATAGATAGATAGATAGAAAGATAGATAGATACTGTAGATAGATAGATAGATAGATAGATAGATAGAAAGAAAGAAAGAAAGAAAGAAAGAAAGAAAGAAAGAAAGAAAGAAAGATATTCCAATTTGCACACATATTTCTAACAATTTAAGGACATCCAATTTGGGTTGCAAAAATCCAGATGGCCACATGAGGTCAAAGAAGAGAGATTAAAAAAAAAAACTGTCTGCTGTCACTCTGGACTCATTCAAGATTTTGCAACCCAGATCCGATGGTTCGACGTCATTTAATTGACTATATTAAAAGGAGTTTAATTCAAAGTGAAGAGAAATTGTGAACATGCATTTGTGGGGGGTTTTTTCCTCCTCTGCGCTGGAGCTAAATGCAAATCTCGCTGTCGGCTGTAGCAAATTCCAACCTCTTTGGAAAGATGAAATGATCGCTTTTTTACAAAGCCTGTCGCAAATAGAATCACCCACCCCGCTGCAGAAAACTTCTAAATGGAATATGATTTATACGTTTATTTAATTAACGTCTGTAGCCACCCACCTCAAGAAAGAGACTCTGATTCGGGTGTAATTGAGATGAAAAATGAATTTTTTGGGGGGTGAAGTGCTACCGGTTTTTTACTCTCTGTACATGCACAGAAGGGTTTGCTCATGCACAGAGGGTCCAAGCATGCATGTGATGTGATGCGAGCGTGAGGCATGAGCAGTTCTGAACAGGTAGAGAAGGTAAGTAGATTTCACCCCTGAGTTAAATGCTATAATTATCTCCTCCAAAAGGAGGAACTAAGACTGAAATAACATCCAAGTAATCCAAAAGAAAATATTGTGCTTCAGATAACGTTAATGAGGGAATTGCTTAGATGGTGAAGTTATTTGGAAGAGGACAGGAGGAAAAAGGAGGAAACTCCGGCATCAACCTCATCATCGATAGAACATCCGTGCCACGGGAGTTGAAGGCTGCAAAGACAAGCCTGCTCAAATATTTCAAATGGATAGAGATTAGGACTGGGAAGATGGTTGAAAATCACAATAAGATTACCAGCTACAGTTTGGATGGATGGATGGATGGATGGATGGATGGATATGTCCATGGGTCAATAAGTTGCTAGATCAAGAGATCAAGAGAAAGATCAAGAGATTAACCGATCGATAGATAGGTCGAGAGAGAGAGAGAGAGAAAGAGAGGTAGGTCAATAAATCGATAGATCAATAGATTGACAGATAGATAGATCAAGAGACTGACAGATCAATAGATAGATCAATAGATCAATAGATGAGAGAGAGAAAGAGAGACAGAGAGACAGACACAAATATGGGTGAGTAGATGATGGATGGATATATCAGTAGGTCAGCAAGCCAATAGATCAATAGATAGATAGATCAATAGATTGACCGATAGGTCGAGAGATAGAGAAATAGATAGGTCGAGAAAGAGAGAGTGGTAGGTTAATAACTTGATAAATCAGTAGATCAACAGATAGATAGATAGATAGATAGATAGATAGATAGATCAATAGATAAGGGAGTGAGAGAGAGAGAGAGAAATAGAGAGGTACAGAGAGAGGTAGGTCAATAGGTCCATAGATCAATAGAAGCTTTCTCTTGCCTTCTTGGATTTGTTTCAGCTTCCCAATCAAGATCCCAAGCCTGTGATGTGATGTTCTATTCTAATTCTGTTCTGTTCTGTTCTGTTCTGTTCTGTTCTGTTCTGTTCTGTTCTGTTCTCTACTCTACTCTACTCTACTCTACTCTACTCTACTCTACTCTACTCTACTCTACTCTACTCTCTACTACTCTACTCTACTCTTCATTCCAATATCTGTTCTAGTCTATTCCTATTCCAGACAGTGAAGGGGGGAAAAGAGAGAGAGACAAAGAATCAAATGCTTTTTTAAAAAAAAAAAAAAAAATTAAAAAAGATGGGAGAGCTGCAATTCCCATCCAAGACCCTCAGAAAAAAAATCTCTCCATTGAGCGTTGCACATTTACACATCGCTTCTGGCTTGTGTGTTTCTTCTTTGCCACTTGTCTGAAGTTGGGATCGGACAGAGATGGAAAAATTAAACCAACTGGCTCCAAAAATAGACAATCCTGGCCACGCACAAGCGCTGGAAGTTGCACCGGTAGAGTTTAGAGAAGTCACCTGTCCTAAACTCGGCTGGACATGGAACAATTCACCCTGCCCCAGTGCACAGATTACCAAGGACCGGACGGGCGAGGGAGGGAGGGAGGGGGATCCTTTGCTTCCTTCTCAAACGGCTGAATCCCTCCCACCCAACTGTGTCCAGAATTTAAAGCAGAGATTTATACCAAGCTGGCACAGCCGAGTCGTCCAACAGCTGAGCGGTTTTGCACGTGTACTGGCGTACCAGCCGTGCGGGCTGCTCACACGTACAAGAGATAGATAGATAGATAGATAGATAGATAGATAGATAGATAGATAGATAGATAGATAGATAGATAGATAGATAGATAGATAGATAGACAGACAATGATAGATAGATTGACAGACAGACATAGGCAGACAGACAGGAAAAAGAAGAGAGAATAGATCATAAATCATAGATAGATGATAGAAGAGAGAGAAGAGAGAGAAAGAGAAGAGAAAGAGAAATGATGATAGGTAGGTAGGTAGGTAGGTAGATAGGTAGGTAGATGATGATAGACAGACAATGATAGATAGATAGATAGATAAATGAAATAGAGGAGTGGATAGATCATAGATGATAGATAGGTAAATACATAGATCATAAATCATAAATAGATGATAGATGAGAAGAGAGAAGATATAGAAGAGAGAAAGAGATTATGATAGACAAACAAACAGACAGACAGACAGATGAAAGAAAGGAGAGAGAGAAAATAGATACATAGATCATAAATATAGATAGGTGATAGATGATAAAAAAAGAGAAGAGAGAGAAGATAGGTAGGTAGGTAGGTAGGTAGGTAGGTAGGTAGGTAGGTAGGTAGGTAGGTAGGTAGATAGATAGATAGATAGATAGATAGATAGATAGATAGATAGATAGATAGATAGATAATGAAATAGAGGAGAGGATGATAGATAGGTAAATATAGATCATAAAGAGATGATAGATGAGAAGAGAGAAGAGAGAGAAGAGAAAGAAGAGAGAGAAAGTAAAAAGATAGATCTAAAGACACACACAGGCTTTGGAGAACGCGCGCGCGCCTACTTTCTGTTTGTATACACTAGCCAGCACACACGGGGGAGTAACTCTCGGAGCTTAGTAAGTTTACTCGCAGGCGTTTCGTGACCCAAACTAGGGAACGCCACCGATGCTGGTCACCGGCGCTGATCTTAGCTAGTTCGGGTTTTTACGAAACGGCGGAAAACCCCCAAGCTCAGAGAGCACCAAGAACCCCAAGTTTCAACTCTCGAGCTACAAATATTCTCCTTTATCGGTACTAACAGACGCACGAAGTCTGCAGGAGGAGACCAGAGGCGCTTCTGCCAAGACCAAGCCAGCTGTTTGGGGACGCGGGGGAAGGTCAGCTTCAGAACCTGTCCGGGGAAGAGGCGACCCCACCCCAAACTTAACCCCCGCGCGGCCGGATTTTCTTTTTTTATTTTCTTCTCCCGCTTCTCCTCTTGTCCCGACTACAGCACCTCGCTTGGTCCCCTCCCCAAAACTGGGCAGGCAAGCAGATGTCCAAGAGTACGCTTCTTGGATCCCGAGCTCGCCCGGGGACGAACCCTTTTAAAGAGCCGCGCGCGGCGCGCAAACTCCCGCGTACACGTGTCTGCGCGTCTCCACGACCGCAACGAAACACAACATCCTTCCCACCCCCCAACAATGATTGCAATATGCTCAAAGCCCCTCGAGGCGTTTTCCTCTAAACGCCCGGAGCGTCCAGACCTCCCCTTCCTCCTCTTCCTCCGTTTCCTCCCGTGTACACGCGTGTCTGCGTCTCCACGACCCCACAACATCCACCCCAACGATTCATTGCATTCTGCCCAACGCCCCTCACAGCGTTTTCCTCTCGGAGCGCCCAGACCTCCCCTCTCTCCCACTTCCTCCCATGTACACGCGTGTCTGCTTCTCCACGACCACAACGACCCCACAACATCCCCCCCCCCACGACGATTGTATTCCGCCCAACGACCCCTCGTGGCATTCGCCTCCAAAAGCCCGGAGCTCCCAAACCTCCCGCACTTCCTCCTCCTCCTCCCGCGTACACGCGTGTCTGCGTCTCCACGACCCCACAACATCCACCCCAACGATTGCATTCCGCCCAAAGCCCCTCGCGGCGTTTGCCTCCAAGCGCCCGGAGCGCCCAGACCTCTCCCTCCTCCTCATCCTCCTCATCCCGCGTACACGCGTGTGCGCGTCTTCACGACCCACCCACCCCTTCCCGGGCAGCCTTTATCTCGACACCCCCCCCGAAAGCGGCGGCTGGCCAACTAAAAGAAGCGAACTAACCTGCCGGCGGGACGGCCAGGACGGAGTGGAGGAAGAGTCCGAGTGGCAACAGCTGGTGGGTCCACATGGATGGGGAGGAGGAGGGGGGGAGCTGGCTACCTGGGGCCGGTGTGGAGGGGAAGGGGGGGCTCTTCCCCCTTTCCAGGGGTCCCCAAAAGAGGCAGAGGCGGCAACAGAGGAGCCCGACAGCGAGGAGCTGCTATATATTGCAAGGTTTGGGTGAGTGAGTAACAGGAAAACTCTGGGTCCCAACTCCCTCTTACGGTAAGAAAGCGCGTTCACAGCAGCGCCTCCGCGCTCTCTCCGCCTTCCTTCTCCGCCAGCCCAGCCCGGGGATGTGGAAAGGGGGGGGGGACCGAGGGGCACAGAGCCCACCGCAGCGCAGCGCCGACAGCCAGAGCCCACCTTTCCAAAGAGGGGGGGAAGCTGGGGGGGGGGGCTTCCCCTCCAAGGAGATGGGGAGAAGCCGCTCTGGAGAAGATCAGCGGTAGCTCCGCTTTGGAGCAGGAGAGTTGTTCTTACTTAAAAAGAACTCCCTGCTTGCAGAAAGCTAGCCCTTTAGAGCCCCGAAGGGGTTGGTTGGTTGGTTGCTTGGCGTTCTTTTCCATCTCGGTTGAGAAAAGTTGGGGTGGGGATGGAGTGGGGATGGGGAGGGGGTGGGGTGAGGCTTATTTGGTGGCTGCACCCTGGATCAAAAGGTCAGGAGTGCTGCAAGGAGATGCTTTTGTGTGTTACCTGGGGTTGATTCTAATCAAGGTGATGGGGGCAGGGGAGAGGGAGAGGGGGAAAGGGAGAGAGAAGAGGAAGGAGGGAGAGGAGGAAGAGAGAGAAGAGAGGGAGGAAGACAGGGAGGGAAGGGAGAGAAAGGAAAAGAGTGGGAAGGAGAGAGAGGGAGAGAGAGAGAGGGAGGGGGAGAGAGGAGAGTAAGCAAGGGAGGGAGAAAGAGAAGGAGAAAGGGAAGGAGAGTAAGTGGGAGTGAGAGAGAGGGAAGGAAGGAGAGTAAGAAGGAGAGAGCAGGAGAGGGTGGGGAAGGAGAAAGAGAATAAGAGAGAGACGAAGGGAAGGAGAGTAAGCAAGGAGGGAGAAAGAGAAGGGAGAAGGGAGAGATAAGGAGAGGAGAGAGGGAAGAAGGAAGTAAGAGGAGAATGAGAGGGTGGGAAGGAAAAGAGAATAAGAGAGAGATGGAAGAGGAAGTAAGCAAGGGAGGAGAGAGAGGAGAAAGGAAGGAGAGTAAGTGGGAGTGAGAGAGGGAAGGAAGGAGAGTAAGAGGAGAGAGGAGAGGTGGGGAAGGAAAAGAGAATAAGAGAGAAACGGAGGGAAGGAGAGTAAGCAAGGGAGGGAGAAAGAGGAAGGGAAAAGGGAAGGAGAGTAAGTGGGAGTGAGAGAGGGAAGGGAAGAGAGTAAGAGGGAGAGAGCAGGAGAGGGAGGGAAAGAGAATGAGAGGGAGGGAAGGAAGGAGAGTAAGAGGAGGGAGAAGGAAGGAAGGAGAGGGAGTGAGAGAGTGGGAGAAAGGAGAGTAAGAAGAAGAGAGAAAGGTGGGGAAGAATAAGAGAGAGGGAAGAAGGAGAGTAAGAGGGAAAGAACAGGAGGTGGGAAGGAGAGGGAGGGAAAGAGAATAAGAGACAGGGAGGAAGGGAATGAAAGAGAGAGAGAGAGAGATGCTTGCCATGTTGGTTTGTCCAAAATTCTGCAGCCTCAAGTAGGCTCATATCAGCCAAAGGAATAGCAGCCATTCACAAAGCTGGGTCAACCTGGGTACCTGAATTCTCACAATTTACACAAATTGTGTAATTTGCCACCCAAAGAAACCCTAAGACCAAACTCGGCCTATTATTCAAACACAGGCAGCTCGACAGTGGTGAAATTCATTTTTTTTTTACTGTTGGGCGTGGCTTGGTGGGCGTGGTGTGGCTTGGTGGGCGTGGCAGGGGAAGGATACTGCAAAATCCCCATTCCCTCCCCACTCCTGGGGGAAGGATATTGCAAAATCCCCATTCCCACTCCACTCTGGGGCCAGCAGAGGCAGTATTTGCCAGTTCTCCGAACTACTCAAAATTTCCGCTACGGGTTCTCCAGAACCTGCTGAATTTCACCCCTGCCTCTAGGAGTTTTATCGTCTTAGCAGTTTTATTATCTCCGATCTTTGTACAAGCATTAGGATTGGATCTGACAATGGGGAAGCCAGTTTCGCTTAACAACCGTGTTACTAACTTAAGAACCACGGTGATTCACTTAACAACGGTGGGAAGAAACGTCATGCAGTGGGGAGGAACTCACTTAACAAACGTCTTACTTAGCAACAGGGATTTGGGGCTCAGTTTTGGTGGTAAATCAAGGACTTCCTGTATCGTCTTCTCGGATTTTCTTTTTTCATCTTCCCAGGTTAATCCTATAAACTTGGATTTCCTTCAAATTCCCCATCCAATTATTAACCAAATCCAATCCTTTTTCGCTGTCTGCAACCTAATAAAATAATAATATGAGCTGGAGCTGCCAGTCAATAATTTTATTTTGTAGCACTAATTCCACCTACCTTGTTTGCTGTTTTGTTTTTCTTATTTTTTTTTTAATGTTTGTTATTTATTCATCATACATTATTAATACATTAATTGTTTATTTTTAATGTATTCTTCTTTCCTGCGATGTCCTAAAAAGTATCTGAAATGTACGTGCAATTTTTTTCCCCCCTTTTTAAAAAACGTTTCGTCTTTTCTACACATCGAAGGAGGCCGTGTGAGTTTCCCTCCGGCACAAATTTTACGATATATTTATTTTTTTTTTTTGACAATCCAAAAAATCTTCTTTTCAATTTGAAATTTTCTTCCCTTGTTTAGGCAACACTCTTTCGAAGGTTGTTTGCTTCCTTCTCTCGTTTTCATTCGTTACTGTTTAACTTTGTTTATTTTTTTATTTTTTTTGTTTATAGTTCGTTTTTTGTACCGTGGAGGGGTGTTTTTTTTTTTTTTGTTGTTGTTTTATTTATTTGAGTCCAGGCATGAAAAAAAAAAAAAACAACCAAATTACGAAAAAGTTTATTTATTTTTTCAAATGTTTGTTTGTTTGTTTGTTTTCTTCTAATTTCGTCACAGATAGGGCAAGCGAGGACATCATAAATATTGTCTTTGATTGGTTGGCACACTCCAGAGACAGAAAAACTGACGTGAAATTTACAAAATCTACCTTCAAGTCTATGAAAGGCACGGACTGAAAAACAGAAAAAAAATATAAAAAAACCTTCCTTAAAAAACATTTGTGATAAATCTGTTCAACATTTGTGATGTTGAACAGATTTTTTTTTTTTTAGACAGGCCTCTCTGTTTCTCAAGATGAAAAATTTTGAAGATTATATCACAACATCCATCTGAAAAGTTTCCCTCCGCTCCAAGGACTAAAAAAAACCCTCTCAATTTGCTCTATAATTTGTCCTCGACTTATGACCACAACGGAGCCCAAAATATTATGTTGCTGAGTGAGATATTTGTTAAGTTGAGCTTTGCCTCATTTTATGACCTCTCTTGCCACGGTTGTTAAGCGAATCTGGCTTCCGCGTTGACTTTGCTGGTCAAAGGTCATGTGACACCCACACCACCCCCCCAGGGACACTGCAACCGTCATAAATGTGAGTCGGTGGCCAAGCATCTGAATTTTGATCATGTGACCATGGGGGACGCTGCAAACGGTCGTAAGTGTGAAAAACGGTCACAAGTCACTTTTTTCAGTGCCGTCGTCACTTTGAATGGTCACTAGATGAACTGTTGTAAGTCGAGGACTACCTTTAAGAAGCTGCCAAAATGCAGGTTTTGAAATTTCGTACCACAAACATCTATCTGAAAATTTTCCTTCCTTCCTTTTCTTTCCTTCCTTTCCCTTCCTTCCTTTCCCTTCCTTCCTTCGTTTCCTTTTCTTCCTTCTTTTCTCTTCCTTCCTTCCCTTCTTTTTCCTTCCCTCTTCATTCTCCTTTCTTCCTTCCTTCCTTCTTTCCTTCCTTCCTTCCTTTCCCTTCCTTCCTTCCCCTCCTTCCCTTCCTTCCCTTCCTTCCTCTTCCCTCTTCATTCTCCTTTCTTCTTCTTTCCTTCCTTCCTTTTCCCTTCCTTCCTTCCTTTCCCTTTCCATCCTTCCTTCCTTCCCCCTTCCTTCCTTCCCTTCTTTTTCCTTCCCTCTTCATTCTCCTTTCCTTCCTTCCTTCCTTCTTTCCCTTCCTCCCTTCCCTCCTTTCCTTTCCTTCTTCCTTCCTTCCTTCCTTCCTTCCTCTTCCTTTCCTTTCCTTCCTTCCTTCCTTCCCTTCCTTCCCTTCCTTTTTCCTTCCCTCTTCATTCTCCTTTCTTCTTCCTTCTGTCCTTCCTTCCTTTTCCTTCCTTCCTTCCCTCCCTTCCTTCCTTCCCTCCTTTTTCCTTCCCTCTTCCTTCTCCTTTCTTCTTCCTTCCCCTCTTTCCTTCTTTTTCCTTCCTTGCTCTCTTCCCGTCTTTCCTTCTTTTTCTTTGTCCTTCCTGTTTCCCTTTCTCCTTTCCTGTCCCTTCTTGCGTGCTCAAATGCAAAAGGGGAAACATTTCTCCTTTTGTTTTCAGTTTGTTTTGCTAGCTCTCCCTGCCAGAGACCATCCAGAATCGTTGGGATGAGATCATTGGGGTGCGATGACTGTACACATTGTTGAAATGGGGCAAGGTGAATTCTTCCGCCAAATTTATCCCAGTTCCAATTTTAAGACAGGCAGGAAGAAGGAAACGTTCTGAAATCTTCCTTATGAAACTATTCTACTAGTTTTGCCCCAATGGGGCGATTGTCTTCTCAAACCCATAAAACATCTTGACTTCTCAGCAAATAATTGGAGTCAGTTGCTCCTTTGAACTGATTTTTATTAAAGCCGTTTTTCACAAAAATACAAGTTAAAAGAAGAAAAGAAAAAGGGGAAAAATGCAAAAAGGAAAGAAAGAGAAAAAGGAGGGAGGGAGGAAGGAAGGAATAGAAGATAAGGGAAGGGAAGGAGGAAGGGAAAAGGGAAGAAGGGGAAGGAAGGAAGGAAGAAGAAGGAAGGAAAAGAAGGGAGAGGGAAGGAAGGAAGGAAGAGAAGATAAGGGAAGGAGGAAGGGGAAAGGACGAAGGAAGGAAGAAAGGAAAAGAAGGGAGAGGGAAGGAAGGAAGAGAAAAGGGAAGGAGGAAGGGGAAGGAAGGAAGAAGGAAGGAAAAAAGGGAGAGGGAAGG